GTCTGATGGACTGTGTCCCAGCAGCATCTCCTTCTCCCGGTGCAGACAGGGCCCGCTGATGTGCTGGCTGTGAGAGTGGTAGAGCCGCAGGAAAGCCAGGATGGAGTGAACCAGCCACAGAGCCGTCACAAGCCACAGCGACGCCTGAGAATGAAGAGAGATGCTTACAGTCACGTATCGAAAAAACACTGAACAGACACATGGTGAAGGATAACGATGCAGAAAGCATCCAAGAAGTTTGTGAAATTCCTGTGTTTTATTATTCTGTTACTGAGTAATAATTAGCAGATATCTGTGTCTGTGCTTTGCATCTTTACAGGTTATAAATGCAGCTGCTTCAGTTGCTGAATCCATCTTTTTTTATCCTTATAATGGAACGTGTGGCTCCAAAAGAACTACCATGGCAAAGGTCAAAACACCAGCATGGAAGGTTCAAAAACATGGGCCCAAAAGGCAGCAGATGACTTTTATATTTATGTGTGATCCACAAATGGTCACTTCTGCCTCCGAATGACCAACATGGCTGAGCTAAAGCAACGCGCACAGGGGAAGCAATTCATTCAACCTTTATAGTGAGTGGATGCTTCAGATTCTGGTTGCCTAGGTAACCCTCTAATGTATATAGCACACACTCACATGTCCATCTTCCACTCTCATTTTATGCCATTTTTAACAATACATCAGTGAAACAACAGTTATCATCTCAGTATAACGACTGTCAGCAAATTCTTGGAGGTAGATTGGTGAAACTATGGGACCGGAGCTGAGAGAAATGTACAAACAAGTACCGGTAGAAAAACTGAGTTAAGACCCAGCCTATTGTTTCGATCATTTAAAACTCCAGGACAAAGATTCACAGGAGAAATCTAAAAATCAACAATGTGGCTCCAGGAATGTAGAAGTCCAAAAATCAATTTGTAAAAACATACAGTCTGTGCCTTTAACAAACACCACTTCCTGTGAGACTTTTGATTTCAGGGACGAGTCGATAGTTCACTGTGACGACAGCAGGAGAGACGAGAGGGACGCCGTTTTTAGACGGGACAGATTAGAACTGGAAAAACTGAAAAATGACCGTAGCCGTGTCTCATCAATATGAGTCGGTTTGTTGCGGGAGTGAACCTCGGACACTCGTTTCATTGTTTCCAAAAGACAGATTAGATAAATCCTGCCCAGGACACTGAATGGAGCTGCAGAAGCTGCTAGAACGGAGGCTGACATCAGCTCTTGTGTCGATCAATGATGTTTTGTAACAAAAACACAAAGCACTGACAACATCAAAGAAACTCCTAAATGCATGCTTTTAATTCCTGGATAAATCTGCAAAACAGACAAGCTTCAGACGAACATGATGCCGAACAAAAGTGGTTTCTTCTGACAGAGTAAACCTGCTTTCCTGTTTCACGCGTCTGCTTTCCTAAAATATCAAATCTGTGACAAAAGATCTGTTGCCATTAGAAACAGCTCACACAACATCACTGCAGCTGACATCGAATCAGACAGAAGGGTGGAAAAAACCCCTGAAATGAGTGACTACAGTGATGTGATCAGGAACAATGTTTACATACAAAACATCCTGTATTTAAGCACAAAACGGGGATAAATCTGTAAATACTACTGCAGCTGCTACACTGATGGGAGCTCATGCTGTTATTTTTAAAGGTTCATCTATTAATCAATTACTGTGTTATAGCATTAATGGCCACAGGGGAGGTCTTCATCAGTTGGAAAGTTTTTTAACCTTATGAAAATACAGTTAATTTGGCCATTGGGGTCAGATTAGACTCTTTGCCGGGCTGATTCAGTCCCCTTGGCCTTATGTTTGACACCCCTGTTCTATAATTTCAGATGCCTAATTAGCTTGTTGTGATCATTTTAATGTTACTTAAGTTATCTGTCTGAACTGTTAAATAATTATTTTCTTTTTTCTTCATCGTGCTCTACCTCCTTCAGCCTTTCAGAAAAGCAGACAGCCGAACTGTGAAGCTCTTGTTTCAGAGGCCTGGGAGGAAGTTGGTGTCCCTTTTGCGTTCTGGTGTGCGCAACATTTTGGGTTTGCTTGTATTTGCGCATTCCTACCTGCGCCAGACTGAGCTCTGTGAAGAAAGATGAAGTGTCCACGTCCAGGTAAAGCGGCACAGACTGGGACTCTGCACAGCTGAATTCAAAACAAACAAGAATAGATGAGAAAAGGACCTGAAGATATGCTCAAACAAGATGACAGCCACACACACGCTTTAAAAACACACATTTTAACATCAACCCTGAATCATTTTCTTTTTAAAAATCACACATGGAGCAACAAAAGAAAAGTCTGGAAATGTGCAGGCCTCTCGATGTCAAACTGAGCAGGCATCCATCCACAACGCCAAAGGGGCGTCTGCGTTAGATGTACCTGAATGGCTGTGTGTCGTTTTCTGTCACAACGTCGCACCAGGAGCTGAGTCCTAGTGACAGGATGACACTGGCTCCTCCAGACAGGAAGAACACGCACACGCTCAGCAGGACCGTGAGGAAGGACGAAAACAGAGTGCTGGGCAGAAACAGAGAGAGAGAGATGGCCATCAGACACACAGAGAGCTGAGGCTTAAGACCAACGTTGGAGCAAATGCATGATTAATTTATAATATCAACTGCAGCTACATCCCCTCTTTCTGCTGCTTCAGTTATCACAGTAATGTTTTTATTTCTACAGATTTCCTCAACAGATACAGACGAACAGTATATACAGTACTGCACAAAAGTTTTGAAACACCCCTCATCGCTTTACATTGTACAAGTAAATTGGGAAATGGATAAAGCTATTTATGGAAACATCGGTAAACATACATGGAAATACAGTATATAAGCCAAAAACCCATACAATCTGAACAAGCTTGTAAGTCAACCAGGACAACCTTAACTCTCTTTCAGTAGTCTTAAAATTACATCTGCTGTAAAAGTGACACAGCATTTCAGAAAAGGAACATCATACCAACAGTAAAATACGGTGGTATTGTGGTGGTTTGCAGCTGTTTTGCAACAGAACAATGTTAGCAAAACTCTCTGAACTTAAATCGTAAGAAATAAATGTGTAGTTCTGTTAGCTCCTTGTCCATTTTCCTTTACTGTGGATCCACTGTAAAATTTAATTTAGTAAAATTGAATTGTTTATTACTTATTCACACTGGTCTAGTAACCCAGGGGCTAGGCCTTTATCATTGGGAAAAGCTATAAAACGTATGAAAACAAAGCTAAATGTCCAAAATTTATGCCAAACTTCACATTGTGCAAAGCTGTCCAGAGGGCCATACTGGAGTCTCTGCCTGGCCAAATACCACCCACGGGCCTTATGTTTGACACCCCTGCTATGACTACTGTGATAACTGCAGTTTGTTTTTGTAGGTCATGTGACCCACAGGTTTGGTTTAGAAAGGCCCAGCAGCTGGTTGACATCAGGGGCCTGAGCATGACTCAGAGGTGTGTCAAACCCGCACCTCGGGGGTCAGAACCGGCCGGCAGAAGGTCCACTTTGGCCCACCTGATGAAAAGTGTGAAAGTTGCAGCTGAGACCTTGTTTATTTTTTTCCTTTGACTTAATGTAGGTGATGCTCCCGGTGTGGAGAGGCAGTACCAGCATTTCTATAATGAAACGTTGAGATTTTTTTTCACATGTAGGCAAGCTGATTCATAAAGACCTAAAATACTGTTGTTGTTGTTGTTTAAGTAAACTCGTTATTCTTAAGAGCTCTCAATGTGTTTCTTTCTTCTCCTGTTTCTTTACACTACACTTCTTTTTTTTGGGGGGGGGGGGGGGAGTAAAAAAAAATCACTAGAATAAAGGATGCAGATATATTCAGAACATTTTCTCCTCTCCTTAACATGGCCGACAGCCTTCTGTGCTGGTGGATACGCTGGCTGATCATCCACACCACATGACTGCGTCCGTTTCTGCATGCATCCGTTTATGTATGCCTTCATCTATTTTAATGCGTTTGCAGGATCTCCAAGTACCACCGGACTACTGTGGCACCATGCAGCATTATCTTTCTGCAGAACATAACCAAATGTAGGTCAGTAGTGTTGTACCCGCCCTTCTCTGTGTTTTGAGACGTATGGAGGGGTGGGTGTGTGCTGCAGGGAGACTCACTCGTCATGTTGTCCATGCAGATAGAAGAGGCACCTCCAGCCCTGCGCAGCTCCGTACAGCACCGTGAAAATGCCCACAAAAGTGGCGAACTGGCAGGCTGCCGGCGGCCCCCACTGTTGCACCACCAGGTGATCCACGACTCCCGTCGTGCCCGTCGGCTCCACCTGCTCATCCGTCCTCCAGTATCCACTGGAAAAGAGGGCGCAGCGGCCTTTGAAAGCGGAACCGTTCAGAGCCATCGGGACCACCACCAGCAAGCCCGCCGCTACCGAGAGAGCGTGAGCCGTGCAGTGCGCCAGCAGTAGCCGCCGGTCCAGCTCCATGACGCAGTACGAACACCAGATACACGGTTAGAGTACCCACGCTGAAAGAAGCAGCTCAGCACATCCCACTGTCTGTCTGCTGTACTGACCCCGTTACGGGTATTTAAAGGAGCAGGGCGGGGACCGAGCTGTCGCTCCCACCGTTACACAACCCGCACGTACTGCCAGAGAGGAGGGGGACACACAGAGGGCTCACTCCGCCAAAAAAAATCCAGGAACCAAGCAAGAGAAAACGCATCGCTGTAATCATGCCTGCATTTCAGCACAAACACTGAATGCAAAGCTGCTGCTGTTCTTTCTTATCTTTAAAAAAACTACTTTTTTTTCTTTACTCTTTCTGCCTGTCAATTCCGCTTCGCCATTTTACACACGCACTTGTTCATATAGAAACCTAAATAGCTATAGAGATAGATAGATATAGAGCTCGTCCTGGACAAGCAAAGATGTTTGGCATTTAACTCCTGATTCGGATTCTCGCAAGATCTACTAGACATGACGGGTATTTAAACAATTACACAAAATAAAATTATCAGAAATAAGGAGGCACACGTTATTATCATTTCTACCTCCACGTTTCTATTCTTGGACTCTGCTTTGCATGACTCACTGTTTGACATAGCTCCTATCCTTGATTTAAGGATTTTTGCAGGTTATCTCCTTCAAGTTAGAAAAATATTCAAGCACCATTAGAGTTCTCATCTTTTAGACATGTGTGCTTCTATTTTTGTTATTTATAACTTCTTCTTCTTCTTTTTTTTAAATTGTCAACTTTATTCAGGGGAAATTTATAAAATATTTCAATGGGGAGACTCTTCAAATTCTCATTCAACGTACTCCTCTTTCAACTCTAACTACTTCCACATAAGTGAACCAACAGACACCATTCAAACTTTAAAACTTCATTGGGAAGAATGTCAGGCATTGGTGGAGTTTCAGAAGGGGTTTTAAAGATCTAGAAAATGTGGTTCTTTGCTACATCGGCAATTGTAGTGAGCATCACTGGTGTAAAGTTTGCAACGTTAGTGAGCAGAATTTCAGGTGAATATTTCTCTCTGATCTCCCTCAGGATGCTCTGGGCCACGATCTGATCTCTGATGGAGTGAGAGAAGATGGCCCGGCTTTCCATTGCTGTGATAGTTTTGGAGACTCGATCCAAAGTGGCCTTTGTGACACTGGTGAAGAGTATGCTCATACAGTATGCTTAGGCCGTGTTTAAGAAGAGGCGAGGAGGAAGCTCCCAGAAGCCCTGCAGGATGTGGGGAACTGCCCCTATCACCACATCCTGTGCGGTGAGCAGTTTGAAGCTATGCTCTACCTGCTGGGTTTTCTATGAATAAAGTTATAAGAATGATCTTTTAAACATATATATTGAAAGACTATAGCTGAACTGTCAACAATTGTATGTCAGATGTGACTCACTGAAATTTAGGAGGTTTGGCAGTTTAAGGAGCATCTGGGCTTGAAACTCTATGTCCCTCCTTTTATTAATGACATTCACTGCCCACACCTGAAACAGAAAAGTCATTTACGTTGCAGATTTTTTAAGATGTTACGTGAACATAATGAAAAAAGAAATCTCCAAATTACTACAAGTCTTGTGAGTTTTCTAGTCTTACCAGTGTCAAAAGAGGATTGGCTTCTTTTAAAAATCCTTCAATTCAAACTCCCAAAGCCTTCAAAAGAAAACCAAACAGAGGATTTCTCTCAGCACTTAGACTTCATCACAAACAGACTTAAAGGTGTAGGTGTCACAGTAACTCACTGCTCTGTGAGCGTCTGTCTGCACTTTCACTTATAGGTGAATGATTCGGTGTATTTCAGTTAAATATTTCAGCAATTACAGGATTTCAGCTAAAAGAAATGATCACGTATCAGCATTCACACTGCATTTTATTCAGGAAATGCATTGTTTTAAGTTGTCATTCACTGGAGTAATTGATTTTTAGTTAACCTCGTGTAACATGGTGATCTCATTCAATGTGATCCTGATATCTAAATCTTAAGAGAGATGATTCACCCATTATGTGTATGCTTGTGCACAATGCATTTAGTTTTTTTTGTTTGTGTCTTTGTTTGTTTTTTTACCTTATGCATAGTTTAAAAAGAAAGGAGAAATCAATGGCTCCTTGCTCTCTCTATATTTAATGGCATCTAAAAGCCTGAATCCACAAAAAAATAGACTGACAAAGTTGATCATTTTGGCTGCAGATTACTATAATGAGATAAAAGTACAATTGTGTGACCAATATATGAACCAATATGAACCAGAATTTGAAAACAAACAAATAAACAACAACAACAACAATTGTAAAATAGGTGGGGGATTTCTTTAATAGCAGTATGATTAAACAAAACCTATTACAAATGGGGTAAATAAATAGAATGTACATGACTTAAATTAAATTAAACAAGTAAAAATAAAAGAATAAAAAGAATTAAAGCAAAACAAGCACAATTTAAATACATCTTTTTATTATATCATAAAAAGACTTTAACTTGGCTTTCTTTATGTATTCAAACGGCACAACAGATATCTAATGACATTAAAGTGTCTCAGTAATAACATAGTGCGGTAAACTGGATTAGTGATTTTCTCAGATTACTGATCAATAGGCAGCCTCGATCTAATTATTATAACATAAAGGTTCAAAAAGCAGCAGCCACAGTCGATTTGACAACAGGAGTGAGACATCTAACGGATAAACGATCTGCAAATTTGTGGCTCAGTGACGTAAGAGGGCGACGTCATCCGTTTGATCCCTTTAAATCAGATGGCGAATAAGAGGCTGTAACGATCACCCTGCAGAGGGAATGATCTTTCTGATTTATCTGTCAGATGTGTGATCGATGAGCTCATCGGCGGATATTTCGGGCTCTGCGCAGAAATCCTCATTAAATAACACCACATGTGTGACGATGTAAGTCGTCTTTGAACTTTACTTTAGACTTGTAAATTTGGAGTTTTTATTTTTGCTTTCTGTAGCTCCTGCTGAGTGATTATGTAAGACTAATTAGCTCAAGGGAGATGAACATTTTTCAGTGTTGGAAGTAAGTCATGCCGATTTCATTGCAAACACCACAGGAATGCAATTTACTGCGCATAAAGAAGCTGGTGAGATAAGACAGCAGCGGTGTTGTGGGTTTAGAGAGGGATTCACTGTATCTTACACGTCTTTTAAATGCCCCCACAGGGGTCCAAACTGGATGCTTCAGTCTGGCAGAGGGGAATGTGGGGTGGGGCCGGTGACATTCCTCTCCTCTGTACAAGCCCCGCTGCCTCAGATTGCCGATAAACCAAAGCATATTTTCCTAAAATTATCTCAAGTTATGTCGAGAAGGCTTCAGTTTCACACCAACTAAGAGCAGAAGATTAAAGCAGAACCAAAAACAACTGAGAGAATCTACAAAGAAAAGGCAGGTAACACATTAGATTTTGTTGTTGTCAATTTAATGACTACAAGAGCACCTAAAAAAATAAGGAAGACAAAAACTTAATTCTTGCACTCTTCCAACTTTTACTGCACATCAGCCCATAATTGAAACTGTAAACCGCAAATGCACTAGTATATTGCCTAATATAACTAATTATAATATAATATAATATAATATAATATAATATAATATAATATAATATAATATAATATAACAAATAAACCATCAAAGGAATATCAGAATCAGAATACTTTATTAATCCCGAAGGAAATTAGGGTTACAGCAGGCAGCACGCTAATGGCGCATGCACACTTACAAAGGAACCTTCTGACCAACTTTACACAAACATCACATTGGGGAGACATGTCAGAAAGGTAGGCTGATAGGAGAA